TCATACTCATAGAACATTGTAGGGGTTCATGATTGGGCTAATAAAATCAGCCAATAGGTAAAGGGATACAATCTCAGTCCATGGATTATAGGTTCTTCCCTAGAGATAAGTCCAAGGTCACAAAGACCTGCATGCATAGGGAGTCATCTCTCGTATATGTACACATATTACCAGTAATTGTGGTTTTCTTTCCTAATATGATTATCATATGTACATTCCGTGTGATGGTTTAATGACCAGGTTTTGACCCTCGTCCCTTTGCCATCACATACAAGGATCACACAGTCCCTTGGCTTACTACCCTAGGCAACTCCGACCTCATCAAGGGTAACCTTGCTGACCCTCATCGGTTATGCATTATGCCTAAGTAATCAAGGGTTTTCCAACTTAACTGACCTAGCATGTTAAGCCTAGTCAGAGTCTTAGCAAATAACATTTGCCTATTTTAGTCCCTCTGGACTATACTCTTACTAGAATTCGTTGTTCCACTACATCAAATATTTATTACATGCTCTCACAAGGCCTTTAATGGCCATAGAAACCCAACATATATGAGCTCGAGATTATTGTGTATGATTTAGCCTTGTATGATATGATCTCGAGATTATTGTGGGTGACACTATCCCCAATGGATCTATATTTCATCGGATTATTTGTTACAAAATATGATTTTAAGTTACGACATATGGTGGGATTTTGGAAATTCAAAATGGATTTTTAGAACATGTTTTGTGTGTAGGTTTTTGGTTGAGTACATATATGGGAAGCCTTTTAGAAAAAGTATAGGATTTGATATTATGATTGAAACCCTAACGACATATATAATTGTGCACATAACCACCTATCCCATGTGGTACTATGTGATTGGTTGAACATGCTCACCAAAAATAGAGGGAGAATTCAATTCAAGTTATTGCTATAAAATGTGCCAAATTACTATTAGGGCAAACCCCTAGCTGTAGTTTTTAAGTTAATTAAGTGAATTGAGCATAGACACTTTCTATTATACGGTAAACTTGGAGCAAATTACCTACCAAAAAAAAAAACCTTGGAGCGAATTATAGCTAAAATAGATGATAATAGTGTTTAAATATCAATTACTCATAACGACAACATGATGAGGGATGTGGCTGTTGGGTGAGTGTGGCCATTAAAGGCCTTATGAGTACTTGTAAAATGAAATAATATAATGGAACATGAACTCAGTGGGAGTGTGGTCACTCGTGGACTATACTAAGTAAACTATGTTTATTGATACCGAACTGTGCTTGACGGCCTAGGCCAGTCGGTTGGGAAAAACCCATATTACCTAGGCATAGAATATAAACCGATAAGGGTTCTAATGAGTCATCCCTTGATGGGGTCAGAGTATGCTCGGATGAGTGAGCTGAGGGACTGTGTGACATTTGTGTATGATGGTGGTCTTTAGAGACAGGGGCCAAAGCCTCATCCATGTACCATCACACGTCATGTATATTGATAGACGGTTTCGGGAAAGCAAACCACCTTTCAAAGTGAAGCGTATGCATGTGTATGAGATACCCTTATGCACCATAGGAGCTGTGATCGCATTAGGTCTAAGTGACATTGGCCCGTCTCTAGGGGAGAACTTTAAATCCACAGACTGGGATTACGACCCCTTGACTTATCAGCCAAACTTTGGTGACCCACGAATGAGCACGTGCATGGACTGTGGTTTATGAAAAACACTGGGTGGGTTTGATAAAACAAGTGTGGTCCGTAGTCCATAGTTGAAAATAGAGTACCCTAGTGTTTGACTGCTTTAATTCTTTGATCATATGGATCATGTTCTCATCTAATGAATTTAATTTTGTTTTATGATATATATGCTTTTAGAATTATTATTTGATTTTCTTAAATCTCTGGAGTTTTTATTTATCAAATTTGGATTTATAAAATCAGATATATTGATTTTATATTGATTTAAATATTTAAATAAATTTTAAAATTATTTTATTGAGTTTTAAAACTATTTAAAATTGCATGGGGGCCAATTGTGCACATGGGCTCACCATGGGCTAGATAGTAGGGCCCATGAGATCCTCTCGTGGGTGGCACGCCCCCCCCATTTAGAAGCTTTCTATTTTTGTGATAAGTGATTTTGACTTGTAGGCCAAGTTGCTATGTGTTTTGGAAAGGTATTGATGTAAGGAAGCTTTGAATGAATTTTTGGAAAGCATGAGAATGCTTGTGCATTATTTTGGTACGTACAATATTATGTTTGGAATTATTTATTTAATTTCTATTGATGGAAAAATGTTTTAAGAAATGTGGAGAAATGTTCTAGCACCTTCCATAATGTTGATGACCCATCTATAAAATGGATGACTCAAATCTCTCACCCCACAAGTCACCCAAAATTAATGGTTCATATTTAATCTCACCAGAAGAGGCAAGCCAAAGAAAACCCTAAGAAATCATAATCTTGTTCAAAGCCTATAAAAAGTGGATTGTCTCTATTCAAAATGTTTACACCTTATCTTTCTATCTCTCTCCTAAGAAAGTTTATCTGTCTCTCTCATGAAATCCCAAAGGGGGCACGACTCACTCTCTCATCTTTGATCTCTCTCTCTCCCCCACATTGTAAAAAGGGCTAAGCGTTTAGGCTATAGGGTTCTTCTCTCTTTCATCTCTCAACCATGAATTTATAGCAAAGGGTTTTAGGATATAGCAAAAAGAGAATCCATACCTCTCAAACTAGGTTATTAAGGAAATTCACTTAGGGTTTGAGTTTGTGATTAAAGGGATTCATGTTCTATTGGTGTGACTTGGCCTAAACTTGCTTTCTTAGTTGAGATTGAAGGTTGATCATTGATCCCACGCCATCGGATGGTGATGACTCGGTGTGGGGTGTAATAAGCCTAGTTGAGGTAATATTTGACACTCTTATTATGTTTCTTTTCATATTTAATTATATTGTCTTTATATTCTCAAGCATAAGAATTGTGTATATTTTCTTTGTTTAAAGAAAATTGATTTAATGACATGAAGGTTTTCAAGATCTTGGATTTGTTAGTTTTATTTTCTTTGAAGTAAGAATTATTGTAATAAGACTACTTGTAAATGATCTTTGCCAAAAGAAAAGAAAAAGAAAATGGGTGAAAAAAAGAAAAATAAAAATTTATATTGCCTGGTAAGATCACATTAGTCTTTCTTTCCGTGGCTAAGATCAAGCTTATCTTTTATGCATAGATGATTGACTTCAATGGCTAAGATTAACTCATCTAAAATGGTCTTTAAGAAACATCTCTACACTCACCTATTAATTCTCCTTCAATTTTTTATTTTGAACACAAATTCAATTTTTTTTCTCTCTCTCGCTCTAAGGCCCATTTCCCACCTATTGTTTCTCTCTCCGTCTTCATCATTTTGAAATATTATAGTGAGAGAAACTTCTCTATTATGGTATGCCCCTCATTTCTCCTTTTCTCTCTCTCTCTCTCACCACCTCCTTTATTTTTAGACAAAGAAACTCTCTTAGGGCATATTTGTTTTTCTAAAAGATATCTTCTAAAAAGTTGAATGTTTTTAAATCTTATGGAAAGTTGAGCGTTTTGTTTTGGAATGTTTAAATAAGTTATGCATACTGTATTTGATAACCTACTGGAATGTTAAAAAAGTTTTGGATACTATGTTTGATAACATATACATATTAACCGTATAAATATAAATATAAATATAAATATATAACATAATGTAATATATAATACAATATATTTTATTAATGTATATTTGTATCATATATAACAGATAATATAATATTTATTATAATATATATAT